TTCTTGTACTACTCTCTCTCTCTCTCTCTCTCTCTCTCAGGCCTGGGTGCCAGTCATTGAGACTAGTCCCTACTTCTCTCTGTCCCCCAACTTAGAGAGTGGGACTTTAGCACTTAATTTTGGTTGTTTTCACATATGCTGTATTTTTAAGGTTTTCTTCCCTTATGGGGAATTAAATAGTTGGAAATGTGATATTTGCAGGTGTACAGGTTGTTTCAATTGAGCAAAGCTGCATTATTCATTGAAAAAATCATGTTTTTGATGAGGGGTTCAGCAATGTCTCCAGTGATGTTAGAGAGAAGAGGAGCACTAATAGCCACGTTGGTTGTCCTTCAATTGCTTGGTATTGTATGCCTGTGGTCCTTGACAACTTTTCTTCTTAGGCTCTTCCCATCTAGGCCTGTTGCCGAGAATTACTGACCATTTTGTCTTACATTTAGAGTTATATTTTCATCTCTGTTAGTGATGGGTTGCTCTCTCTCTCTCTCTCACACACACACACCACAACACGCTTATACTTGTACACATGCACACACAGAATGCAGTTTGTCAGAGCAGAGCACCAAATTGTGGAGCTCTCTCTCTCTCTCTCTCTCTCTCTCTCTCACACACACACACACGAGTATGTAACAGTAGGTGACCAAATTGTGGAGCACCAGCTGTTGGCAGCAATATCCAAATTTGGGTTAAGAAGAGTGCAGAAAGCAAACCTAGATTTTGGATTTGTTTCCTGCAACAAAACGTTCTTAAGCTTTACGACTTTGGGCATTGGAGGTACAAAGTTGAGGTTCGGAACAACTTTGGACTTTCAATAACTAAAATATGATTTTTAGTCAAAATGCTATAGGTTGAAGATTATTTTAAACTTCAGACCTTTAGGTCCGATCTAGGGGGGATTTGGGAAAAATAAAAAATTCATAAAAAGGGGGAATGAATGTGAAAGCAAGTTTTTTTGGGGAGATTTCTTAAAGAGTAATTGCGAGAAATATCTCTTTTTGAAATAAATTTGAAAAATATCTTAAAAGTTTTTCGTCTGAACTTTTTTAAGTTTTTGCCAAAAATGTCCTTCATGGTTCTTAGGAACTCTGATGATCCAGCACCCAATTCAGTTTGTGGACCATAATGGTACCAATGGTACCGTCATGGTCAAATGTCCTAAAATGATGATCACGACCCCATTAATGATTCAAGGATCTTTGGACCATATGTTTATTGATTTGATCATAGGGACCATTGTGGCGTTAATCATACTCTGATGGTCCGTGATGTAGAACAGAACGTTGAACCATCATAGTATTGTTAATACCGTAGTGGGTTATAAAATAACTTGAGCCGTGAGTGTTGGGTGTTGGACCTGTGTATGGAATTCTTGGTAAAGGAAGGGAAAGTATAGAATGAGATCATTTATCTTTGGTACAAGGTGGTGATATTTATCTGGACTTTTGGATATGAAATTGGGTGGCTGTAATTATTTCATTGAACAAATTCAAACTTCAAAAGAAATTTTTTCGAATTTTGTTTTACGTCCAAGCTTTTAAATTTCATATTGGATGATTGTAGTTAATTGTGACTATTTTGTATTAAAAATAAATGGTCTCATTTTATAGAAAGTTAAATGATGGATATGGATGTAGTTTTCAAAAAGGAAATGATATTTTTAATAATTCCTTTTCTTAATTAACAGTTGTTTGGAGGGATATTGCACAAATTAATCAAAAATGGTTTTTAATCTGCCCAGTGTTAAGACTCCCTGCGTTGAAGTGGGAGATCGAATGTTCATGCCATGAAGTTTGTTCGTAAAAAACGAAGTTGACCTGCCCTTTTCCTATTAAAAGAAAATTTAGTAACATTATGGCAAGTGATATGTAGAAAATATCAAATGTAGTGGAATTTATAAAGGGAAAAGATACCTGTTCGCGTATGGGCCAAGAGGAACGCCAACAGCTTCGATTTTCAATCCCATATCCACGGCCACGGTACTTTTCTCCTTGCTTTTCGTAACACGTGGTAGAGACAAGGGGTGGAGAAAAATGGAGAGAGAGATGCAGAGATCGTATGCAGAGGAAGGAAGGAAGGGGAGAGAGATGGTATGTTAATTAATTTGCACACCGGAGAGAGCCAAGAGAAAAGTAACACAGGCCGTGGGATATGGGATTGAAAATCGAGGCCGTTGGCATTCCTAGCCCATACCCAAGCAGGCGTTTCCAATCTTTTTCCTATATATATACACATAATAATATTTTCTGTTTGTATGTTGCTTTATATTATTTTATAGATATGATATAATTTTTTGGATCCGATCGGATGTGAATCCAACTCCCATATATCATTCAGATCCGATTTTGGATCCGATCTGGATTTGGATCCGATCTGGATTTGGATCCAGCTACCATGTATGTTTTTCAAATCCAAATTCATATCCTGATGGATCTTTAACCTATTCGACCCATTCTCAGCCCTAGTCGCAATGCATTAAAAAGTTCCAATACATTACTTGAAAACGCATTTAATTTATAAATGGAAATCGTTTTTACTCCCAAAATACAACCTTTTCACAAACAATCTTCTCCTTCCTAAATTGCTCTCTCTCTTAAACAAAGGCAACTCTAGTGCTCTAATATCTTGCTGTTCTCTACACTGAAAAGATATGTGTTTGATCTTGTGTTTTCACGTATCGCTAGTATTTTCCCATAGAATGTTATTCACAGTTATTACGGTTTCCTGCTAATTATATTCATTTTCTTTTAAAAAAAAAAAGTGAGCTGAACTTGGGCGAGTAACCAATACTCACCCAAAGCCCGAGTATCTTGATCGAGTCGATTTTCGAAATACTGTACAACTCGCATTCTAATGTCTCTATTTTGTCAGTGCAAATATCGTTCTTTCGTCTCTGTCTTTTGGGCAAATCTTATCATTCTCACTCTCACTCTTTTTCATTCTTCTTACAACACCGTCTATTCTATCCCGTTTTTGCAGTGGTTAAGGCACAAGAAATCAAGATTCCAATTACTGACGAAAACTGCCAGCTGTTCAACGAGTAAGTGGATGTCCACTGTTCTTCCATACTCTCTCTCTCATGGAAGAAATAAATTGCAGGATTTTATGGTGGAATCCAAAGGTTTGAAAGGGAGGAAAATAGCGATGATAGAGACAGTGATGAAAGAGAGGGCAGGAGTTGAAGAGAAAAACCATGACTGGCAAATGAAGAAGTTGTTCTTGCATCCTTTAATGTTGATTATGATCCACCAAGCACCAGCTCTCCCATTAATAATCCCTCACCCTCCCATAGGGCAAATGAAGATGTTGTTCTCGCATCCTTTAATGTTGATTATGATCCACCTAGCACCACCCCTCCAATTAATAACCCCTCACTGCCCAATAAATAACTTAGAGAAATGATTGGTGACCTTACTATATATTTTCAATAATCTCTACCCATATATCATATGGCCATGTAATGAGAGAAAAATAAGGATAATTAAATGTATTCTTTCTCTTGATTATAATGTGAAATTAGACATGAAACTTTTAGATTCAAAGAGTGGTAGTTCGGTTGGTAATGTGAAAATTAGAGATGAAACTTTTAGATTCAAAGAGTGGTAGTTTGGTTGGTTTGATGTGTGGGTTAATTCTTTTATGTTTGTTTTGTATGTTGCAGTCATTTTTCCATAATTGACTTTCTAGGGATCCTTTTGGGTCCCAATGTTCAAATTTGGAAACGAGGGTCATGGTGGAGAACCAATTGTTTAAGGTTTCCATTGTATAATAACATATTTAGACTATTAATTTATGTTGTCTTATCAATGTTTCAAGCCGAGTAACTCGGCTGACTTTGAGTAGGCTTGGACATGCATCGTTCAGTGCACTAGTAAAAAAAAAATTAAATAAAAAAAATGCAAAAAATAATAATTTTGAGTTTTCAAATTTTATTTATTTTTTCATATTCATGATCTCCATGTTGGAGATTATATGTCTTTCAAATTAGATTAAAAAATCCACCTCAAAAATAGATTTTTAAGAGGTGACTTATTTCTACATGACTCATAAAAATCGTGTCCAATTAAAAAAAGAGCATGTTGGGATAAAACATCCTAAATCATCAATAGAATCATATAAATGATCTAAAAACATATTTCTAAAACATTTGATGAGATTTTTATATTTCTAAATCATTAAAGTGATTTTCTAACAAAAATTAACAGTTTGAATCAATTTTAAATGGCGTCGACTTGTCCCTTGGAAGTCACCTCGGCCACAGGCGGAGTTACTTGGCCGATTGCAAGTGTACTGGGCCGAGTCTTTAAACACTGGTATTGTGCTTTTGTGTTTTTGATGTAGGAAGTTTTGAAAACGGCTCAAAGGAGTTCTTTGATGCCCAGCAAGTATATAAGAAATATTTGGCCAGTTATTGACATAGGAGGAGCTAAAATTAAAACCTCATTTTATCATATGCTCTCTCTCTCTCTCTCTCTCTCTTAAATACACAAAAAAATGTAACATGAATGTTAAATATTGTGCTTAACTGAATGGCTCTATTGTTCCATTCCTAGCATCTTTGGCACCTTGCACCACTATCACTTTCTCATAAATCTGTACATTACCACAACAAATTGGAGTGCGCTTAGAGGCAAGATCAACTCTCTCCCTCTCAAATTTTTATAAAAGATTTTCTACAAAGAGACCATTTATCTTTTGTATATGAAGGTCACAATTGTTTTTACCAATGGTTTAAAAAGTGGATCGGTGACCCAGATCGAGTACCTCAAAAACCGATCCCGATCGGTGAATCGGGGATCCGGATCGAGAATCGGGTGAATCGGTCAGAATAAAGCTTCAAAAAAATCCGAAAAAAATATTAAAATTCATTATAAATATTGTTTTTTAGGAATTCAATAAGAAATGAGGGTACTCCATTAAGAATTTTCATGTTTTTGCTTGAATATGCGAATATTGATATGTTCTTTCCCTACATGAACTACTATTCAGCATTTAATTTACATCACACAAAAGGATAAACATAGAATTATCATGGAATAAGTATATCAATATACATGGACAACAATAAAGCATACAATTAGTAACATACGATCTAAAAATAAAATGACAGACGACGTTGTTGTTCTTTTTGGTCACGCTGGTGCCATTGATTGAATCCGTTTGACAATTCATTGATTCGATCTAAAAACGAATCATCGATATTAGCAGGCGTCTGATTATATCCAAATCCTTGAGTGTTAGTGTTTTGTTGTGTTCCTAATCCAAAATCCCCGAAGCTTGTCCATCCTTCCTGCTCACCTACATTGTCGTGCTCATCCCTACACTGTTGCTGTTGGGACTCGATATGTGAATAATATGGCTGCGATAGGGTGGCCTCAGAATCATCGTCTCTCTCATTTTCTCTTAGACCCCCTTCCCACTCTCCCTCATTAGGTGCAATATCACCGACATCTCCGACGAATTGTGGATACGTTGGCTAGCTGCTTCTTCTTTCATGCTGCTCATCACCTTCTTCAAGATCTTCTTCATCAATAGCCTCAAGGAACGCTCTCTTGTGCAATACTGGCTCCTCCTCTTCTACTACCCATTGGTTTGCTGTGTCTGTGACAAATATTGTGTCTACGTCTATCGGCCCATAGTCTTCAAGCTTCTTTCTTATTTGTCGCTCTCGGAAGTTTAAATTATAATAAACGTACACTAGTTTATGAAGCTTCTCAGAAGCAAGTTGATTCCTCTTAGTAGTGTGCAACCATTGGAACGTACTTCAGTTGCGCTCATAGCCAGTAGCAGAACATGTCTGGGAGAGCACCTTGATTGCTATCTTCTTTAGGTGAGGTGTATCAGTACCATATATCTCCCACCATTCAGCTGGATTAAAATGCAAAAAGCATTATAAGGACAAGAACAATTCATAAGATTAAATATATGAATGAACAAAATATTAGCGAAGGGATAACCTGGATCCATCATAGTTTGAGAATTCCTGGCAATTCTAGTTCCGAAGGATCCTATAGCGTCCCTATACATAGCAAGCTAAAACAAATATATTACGTTTTAGTGCATTATTCCTCACAAATATAACAACTCAATGAAGTTCTTACCCAAACATTAAATAATACCTCTTGTATTGCTGCTACTTGGTTTCGATGGCTTCTCTCCAACCTTGCAATAATGTATCAGACCCCTTCCATAATCTTGTGGGGATGTTTAGGTGTCAAATAGAAAATTTTTAGGTTGAAGTAGTAACCTACAAAATATATAGATAGAAAAATGTCATTTACAATTTCATAAAAGAATGATTTAAAATGAAACATTGTAATGATATAAATATATATTTACCAGCATAATGAATTGGACATCCAAATTTGGTGTTCCACCTCTTTTCTATAATCTCGATCACTTTGCTAGCAAAACTACACTTCTCCCCAATAGCTGATTTCGCCCTCTCAATACCTTCATAAAGGATACTCATGGTAGCTTTCTTGTCAGCATCATCATTCTTAACACCGTGACCAAAGGGGCAGCAGTGGCCTCTACAACACTGGAACATCGAGACCAGAACCGCCTATTTGAGACTATGTTGTCTACTTTTATATCGATACTGGACTTCGAGAGGCGGTCATTTAACCACTCTTCACAGGTAAACAATCTCTTTAATGCACCTTCAGATTCTCGAATGGAGTTCACAACTAAGTAATCGGTCGCAAAGCGGGTTATGACATGCCTCATTATCTCTTTTTTCTTAGAGGGTTCTCTAAACAGAAATAAAATTTTAGAGTGGTTGTATATAAATCTCGACACCAACCTTGCTTCCTCTAGAGTCTCCTTCACAATTTTGATCTCACCGATCTCCTATAACATAAGATCGATGCTGTGTGCATCACACGTCCATACTAGATGCTTCCTCTTATCCATTAACTTGCTGCCCGTAGAAACACATGCACGTGCATTGTCCATAATAAACTGGACTACATGCTTATCGCCCATCTCCTCCACTATCTGATCATATAGTCATACGTAGAAGTTTGCATCCTTCTTCGTCCCTGATTCTTCTTGTTAGACAAAAAAGCTATACCTTTTGGGGAATAGGCCAAGAAGTTTAAAAACTCTTTTTTGCTAACTTTATTCAACCAACCATTAATCATGAGAGTAATGCCTGTCCTTGGCCAACTCTATTTATATTCTTCAATCCACTTTGTAACTTCCTCCACCTCTTCATCTAATATTGGCCCACTGAGCTTATATGCCGTCGGGGGTTTTACCCCGGGCCCGACTATCTGGATTGCACTGACCATAGGTAGAAAATATGGGCTATTGGCTGCATCAAAGGGAATCCCTTTATCGTAGAACCATTTACCAACATATTTCCACAACATGTTTCTTGTACCTTTAACCATGCCTTTTAGGGTCATCTGTTGTGACTTAGGCTTTGAGAGAAATGAGTCTTTACGACCATGACCTGCAATACTGGCACTCTTAGGTAACCTAGAAACAATTTCTTTAATATTTGATTCTCCTTGATACATATTGCCACCAACCCCTCCATACATATTTGAGGGCACATGGCATTGGCCTCCCTCACACACGCCGCTGGATTCATTCACGGGCAGCGTTAGATTACAAAACTTTAAATTTAAAAAATAGGTTAAAATACAAGTAGATCTATAAACGTATGAAATCTTAGAAATGGACGATGTAGATAACATGTT